GGTTACATCATTTTACCATCCCACCAACAGTGTACTAGGGTTCTAATTTTTTCACATCCTTATCAATCTTATTTTTTTAATTTATTTTTTATAATGGCTATACAAATGGGGGTGAGATGATACACCTCATTGTGTTTTTGATTGGCATTTTCCTGATAATTAGTTTTATTGAACATCTCTTCTTATACACATATATACATATGCTTGTCCACCATTTGTTTATTTTCTTTGGAGAAATGTCTGTTCAAGTCTTATGCCCGTTTTTATTAATAATTATGTTGTTTTGTTGTTATTGAATTATAAGGGTTGAGTTATATAGTCTACATATTAACCCCTTATTTGATACATGGTTTGCAGATATTTCCTCCTATTCTGTAGGTTGCCTTTTCACTCTGTTGATTGTTTTCTTTGCTGCAAAGAAGTTTTTAAGTTTGATGTAGTCTCTTTTGTTTCTTTTTACATTTGTTGCCTGTGCTTTTGGTGTCATGTCAAAGAAATCGTTGTGGAGACCAATGTTATAAAGCTTTCCCATATGTTTTCTTTTAAGAGTTTTATAATTTCGTGTCTGCGGTTTAGCAATTTTAATATTGTTTTAATATTTTTTCAAATAATCAACCTTTGGCTTTTTGATGTTCTTTATAGTTTCACTTTTATCTCATTGATTTTTCCTCTTTATTACTTCTTATTTTAGATTCTTTTGGCTCTTCTTTTTTTAGCTTCTTAAGGATGGAGCTGAATTATTTTTAATTGAAACTTTTTTTTTTTTCATTCATTTAAAGATATAACTTTCCCTTTAAGAACAGTATTAGCTGCTGCATTAGTTTGCCAGGGTGGCTATAACAAAGTACTACAGATTGGTTAGCTTAAATACTGGTTAGTATTTTTTTTCTTAACAATTCTGGATGTGCAAGAAGTCCAAGATTAAGGCCTCAGCAGTGCTGATTTCTTCTGAGGCCTCTCTCCTTGGCTTATAGCTGGTCATCTTCTCCCTGTGTCTTCACATGGTCTTCCCTCTAGAACTTTCTATGTCCAAATTTTCTCTTCTTATTAGGATACCATTTATATTGGATTAGGGCCTACTCTAATGACCTCATATTTGCTCAATTACCTCTTTCAAGACCCTGCCTCCAAGTATAGTCACATTCTGAGGTACTGAGGGTTAGTTAGGATCAACATATGGGGGAAGGGGAACAAGTCAGCCCATAACAGTTAGTTCCATATCACAAATTTGCTGAGTTGTGATATGTATTGCTACGTTGTGTTTATTAGAATCATTGAGTTCGAAATATTTCCTCTGTCCCTTGGAATTTTTTCTTTGATTTATATCTTCTTTAGGAAGGGCTACTGGATTTCTAATTATGGAGGGTTTTTTTTTTTTCCACAAGTATCTTGTTATTGATTTCTACTTTAGTTCTGTCTTTGGCAGAGAACATACAAATGTTCCTTGACTTACAATGGGGTTACATCCCAATAAACCCATTATAAGTTGAAATATTGTTTATGTTGAAAATGCATTTAATATACCTAACCTACTGAACATCATAGCTTAATCTATCCTACCTTAAATGTGTTCAGAGCACTTACATTACCCTACAGTTGGGCAAAGTCATCTGGCAACACAGTACATTGTAGAATATCAGTTCTTTTTTTTTTTTTTTGAAACAGAGTCTTGCTTTGTTGCCCTGGCTAGAGTGAGTGCCGTGGCATCAGCCTAGCTCACAGCAACCTCAAACTCCTGGGCTCAAGCGATCCT